GCAAAGCAAACTAGGGCTATCTGCCTAAGAGGAGGGATGCCTTCGTGGTGGACTTTCTAAGGGAAACTGGCTCGTATACACGTTACACATGGGGAAAACCACGAAAACAGCCATGCAGCCAGCCCGTTCGCGGGATTCGAGCCTCGGACCGAACTACCAGTGTTCAGCGACTTTACCGCTCGGCCGCTGGTGGGCACTGTTGGTTAGATGAAACCCATGAATGTGATAATGTGTAACTTGTTACCTAACTTCATTTTTATATTTAATTTTTGGAATTGATTTAGTTTTCACTTAAAGTGGCTTAATTTGCTTTGATATTAATTTATTACTTTAAATTTACTGAGGGTTTTTAAGAGCTAAAGTTTTGAAAATGACTTATGTTTAGTTTAATTAAATTGGTAATGATAAATCTCTTTTAATAATGTTACGTTATTTTGTTCCTTTACGTTCGTACGGGGTTCGTAGATTTGGAGTGAATAACGACAATACTTGATGGAGTATCGAAACACACTTTATTTAGCCAATATTAATCAGGACAGCTCCAAAGTCATTTTTATAGTCGTCGAACTGTTATAAACACGCTGACACGCTCAGCGCCACAACCTTAACACTGTCAGGGAATAACGGTGAAGACAGCTTCACTGCGAAGCACCCGAGTACAGCTCCCAACTCTGCTTGGTCGTTCTCGGAATTCCACGTACTCTCGAGACTCTCCACGCGATGCACTCGACGATACACAAGAGTGTAGCTGTCGACTCAGCACAGTCTAAGACAAAACTCGGCGATGCCTAAAAGACTCTCTCGATGCACTCGACGACCACCTCGGCGCTAGACTTCGAGACACTCGCTCAATGACTGACTATCAGCTCGCTAGACGAGGCACACACACTAACTGACAGAGGACCAGCAGCGTTTATATAGCTTTCGACTTGTGTTCGAGAACATTCTGGGCTAAACCGGTAAGAATTCGTTCCAGAAGGTTCTCCATCCGTCCATGGCATATCGCCAATTTTGTCGCCAAATGTGGCAACCCTGCTTTTCCTTGCTATTTTATGGCAACCCTAAAACTGCTTTGCGGGGAAGCTATCTTACCGCGCCTGTACATTTCGTAACACTGCCCCCTCCCAAGGACTGCACGTCTCGGGCAGTACAACCCTTGGTCAGAAGCATAATTCGATGCAAACAAAACGTAATGAAACAAGGTATAAATAAATAACATAACTAAAGAAACAGATATTTACACTATGTACAAGTTACATACACAAACACATCACAATTTTAAATCATGCAAATTAAAGTTCAGAAAGAATTTCAGTCTCAGTCTTTTCCTTATTTATACCTGGGTCAAATACTTTTCCACTGCAGTTCTCAGATGCATTTCTGTTTTTCATGGCACAGTCTGAAGATTCAGTTCTTTCAGACTTTTCATCCATTGAAAGATCTAAAACAGTTCGTTCACCACTCTGTAGTTCATTCGCAACATGCATACAGTTCACCTCGGTATTTTCAGCCTCTGGTACATGCCCATTCTCCTTCATTTCCTGGGAACCATTTCCGATGTTTGCACCAGGGTCGCGAATAGAATCCTATCCTTTATGAGCAGAAGTATCCGGGTTTAGAATCAAGTCCTTGTCTACAAAATCTGCACTGTGAGACGCACACTCAGTTTGTGAAGTGGGTGAATTTTCTTCCAGTACTGGAGCGCACTGCTTAAACTGCACATCAGCTTCTCCCATCTCTGCATCCACTTTCATATGGTTCATATCGCATCCACTTTCATATCGCATCCACTGTCATATGGTTGAACACCAGCTGCCGGCGACTTCGTAAATTCACTAGCAGTTTTGACGAACTTAACAGTCCCATTTTCATTTTCTTCCATTTCAGGCACTTGAGAATCAAAAGCTTCTTTCCTGGCTTTTATTTCTTCATGTTTTCGTTCTTTTCCTTTAATCTCGTTAGATGTTTCATCCTTAATTTCTTGATCTTTCTCAGACAATTCATTATCTACTTCCTTCTTTTTTTCATCCTTGGATTCTCCAGATGCCACTACTGTCATTTTCACATCTCTTTTATGCTCCAGTTTCTTCTGTAAGCTCCACTTTCAGCTGTTGAAGTTGCTCTCGCACATTTTCTTGGCCGCCATTTATCTCTTCTCGTCGGCCTTTCTTCGCTTCGAGTCCGGCTTTGATCTCAGCTGTCATCTCCTTATATCCAGCTTTTATCTCATCATATCCGGATTTTATCTCAGCACACCCGGCTTTTATCTCAGCTGTAACAGCTTTAAATATTATTAAAAATCTTGTAGTTTAAAATAAATAATTTAATTAGATGAACATTAAGGTATATGTGAATGGCAATATTTGAAACCAGGTTCTAGTGCCACGTGCGACTCTCGCATAAAGAATGTAATTTATTTTTAAATGTTAGAATTATTTTTTCTTCTTGTTTTGTATGTCGCCATTTTGAGTGCTAAACAAAGTTTTTTCTGTGTTCCATGATTGGAGTTCCTTCATATTGCCAAAGAAGTATCACACAGCATATCCGGCTTTCAACTTCTCCTGTCCGGCTTCCATCTTTTCTTGGAATTCAGCAAAGGCAGTCACGAGCTGTCTTAATAGATCTTCCATTGGTCTTGTCACTGGCATTCACCCTCAAATCCCAATTCTGACACCCGTTGTTATGTTATTTTCTTCCTTTACGTTCATACGGGGTTTGTAGATTTGGAGTAAATAACGACGACACTTGATGAAGTATCGAAAACATTTTATTTAGCCAATATTAATCAGGACAGCTCCAAAGTCACTTTTACAGTCGTCGAACTGTTATAAACACGCTGACACGCTCAGCGCCACAACCTTAACACTGTCAGGGAATAACGGTGAAGACAGCTTCACTGCGAAGCACCCGAGTACAGCTCCCTACTCTGCTTGGTCGTTCTCGGAATTCCACGTACTCTCGAGACTCTCCACGCGATGCACTCGACGATACACAAGAGTATAGCTGTCGACTCAGCACAGTCTAAGACAAAAACTCGACGATGCACTAAAAGACTCTCTCGATGCACTCAACGACCAATTCGGCATGCGTTCCAGAAGGTTCTCCATCCATCCGTGGCATATCGCCAATTTTGTCGCCAAATGTGGCAACCCTGCTTTTCCTTTGCCATTTTATGGCAACCCTAAAACTGCTTTGCGGGGAAGCTATCTTACGGCGCCTGTACATTTCGTAACAATAACTTTCAAAGGGTTCTTTTGATTTCATTGAAATTTGGTTTGGCTGGTGAAAGAGGATGTTATCTTTTATGTTTACTAATTTTAAATTTTTTATCTTTATGTTACACTTAATGATGTTTAAACTTAATTGTTTTGGTAATTTGAATTTCCCTTCCTTCCGTGTAAAAAAATTAATGAATCTTTAATTTTGGTTTTAGCTAGTATTTTCGACAAACTGTAACTTGCTGGTATTTTCGACAATTCTTAATGCAGTAAAAATTTTATAACTGTAAAGAATTTTTTAACAAGGGGAGGACCTGTTTCTGAACTCCAGATGTGTTCGAAACTATTTTTCTTATTTGAAGTCTGTGTCTGAATTTTAGGAATGTTCTTATCATCTTTTTCAAAAGGGGAACTTCGCTCATGGGTAGCATTTTCGAGGAAATATATGTGAAACATCTTACGACTATTCGGAAAGTGGATCCTGATTGCGAGGCTAGCAAGTAGCATACAATTACTCTGTGTTACAACTTTTCATAGATATGGAGGGCACTGTTGCGTCAAAAGAATTTTTTGTGTGGTTTAATTATGTAACTGTCGGTTCGCCGTTGCGATGTTGATATGTTACTGTGATATATATTGGTGTTTTCATTAAAATATAAATGAAAAACGTCATCCATTTGTACCAAATCAAGATCATCAAATTACCACCGATGTAAACTCGTCGAAACAAAAGTAGCATTCTGTAAAGTTCAAAAACTTTATAAACGCCAAGAAGGCGAATTTCACCAAATGTGGACTTTGGCGCAGAAGCGCCAGCAATAGAAACTCGCCAAGATGGGCAGTTGGTTGAAGGAGGCAAAAGGAAGAGGTGTGGTGTGCGCGAACCGGCATATTCTGCCGAAGTTCTGTTCTGTAAAATTATTTATTATATTTTTATGTGTGTGTGCAAAATAAATTCACGTATCGTGAAGCTGGTGTGTTCATTATTGATCGGCCATTGATTATGAATTGGCAAGCTCTTCTATGCTGTGGATTGGTGCAATGTAAAGCCGAAAGTGGATGCGTTCATCGTCCCGAGTAAATTACAAGTAAACTTTACTAATTCGTATAAAAATTGCCAATTGTATGTGTTCGTCTTTCGAACTTTCTCATTCGTATCGTTAGTTTCTTCGTAACGCTCTGCGATGCATTGAAGGATAGGATAATGTTTGCAATTTCCAGCTTGGTAAAAAGGAGTTGGTGATGAGGCTAAAGGGTGGAATATGTTTACGTGGAACATTGGAGACTTACATGTCAGGCAGAGCATTGTCGTTGCCTTTTACCTTTTTCAAGGAGAGAGTATGGAAAATTGAGAAGAGAAGCAATTTCAGCCAAATTCTGGTTGATCTTTTCCAAGGACTGAGTATGGAAAATTGAAAAGAGAAGCAATTTAAACCAAATTCTGGTAGACCCCTTGTTGACGCATCCCAAAAAGCATCACTAATTTTCTACTGGAGGTCGGCGATCCGTTTGGGTTTGCTTGACGGGAAAATGGTGAGTTTCTCGCCTTAAAAACTAAGAAGAGAATCATCCCTGCAGTGGAAGAGGAGAGTCAACGCTGGCAATCATAGAAAGACATCGTGTTTTTTTTTTTTTTTTTTTTTCATTTTATAACTGAAATTGTGAATATTAGCCTCAAAAGTACTAAATAACCTATTGCTCATTTCTATACTTATTGTCGAATTGCTTAATATTTTATGTTTATTACACCCTACTCAGAAGTTATAACAATAAAAATAAATCTTTGTATTAAAAAATAATTTTATTTATTGCAACCAGTTTTATTGTTCTTTAACAGATATTCCACATTATCTGTGTGCAGACATTTGAACAGAAATCTTAACTTTCTGCAAGAATAACCTTAAACTGTGATTTTGCCAACTCCGAATCCCATTTCCCTGTTATGCTCAAATGTGCAGCGATTCTACCAACCTCATCAGAGAATTTGGCTCCTTTGCCATTTCCAACTACAGCTACGGTTACCGTGGGGCTTACTTGATCAATGTAAGGTAGACCAGATGGACTTTCACATGTAACACAAGTCATGCTACTGAGGCCTTCAACTTCCAAACCTTAAAAAGAAAAAAGACCGTGATTACATAACTATAATGAAACTTAACAACTTTCTCCGATTCCCCCCCTCCCCCCAAAAAAGCTAATAATCGCTGCTGACATTATGATGAAATCACACTGTAAAAATTTTATTTTTTTCTGTGTAACGTAATGACTGCTCTTAAATTCATAAAATCACAGCTATTTACAATAAATCTTACAATAAAAAGTAGTGGCAATATCTCTGCGTTGAGACAGATGTACCCCAGATTATTCTAGTGCAGGGATTCTCAATCAGGGTGACATTTCGTAGTTTCAGGGGGGGGATGCGGTCAGCCTTTTGTTTTAGTTGTTGAGCTAGCCCTGCTCAACGAATAACTGGATAGCACAAAATTCAGGGCTTTTGTTACCCCGTACATTGTCCGAGGGGCAACGTTGGCGCTGTTATGCATCTGCACAAAATATTTTGGGCCGATTTAAGGTAAGAAAACAATTTTGAGACGACACATTGTTTTGTTGCTATAAGCCATGTAAGAAAAAACAGGATAGGAAAATGGGACAAAACACGAGAACTTCACGTGGTTGCATAATTAAAGTCCCACTGCACTTTACAGTTCTGGAATCTGAATCCGAGTCCAGTGATGCGTATGAAAAGAATCCTGTGAATAGAAGTATCTTGATTTGCCAGATCGGGCATGTTGAGCTGCATACTGCGAAAGTAATATTCATTGTGGCTTACGCTGAGCACTACTGATGCTATTTACTACTACGATTATCTGCATGGAGCACTTAGGACAGAGGTGGGGAACCTTTTTGCCATGAGAGGCCACATTTAAATTAGGCAGTGATAAAGGAGGCCGCATAAGTTGATATACCCATAAATGCGACTTTTGTGAAATTATTATAGTTCTTGTATAGATTTATCATTTTATTGCATCAGATAGAAATAATGCAAAAAAATTGAAGTCATTTACTAAAATAAAAATGTAGAGTATAAAATATTTTTGTATTCACATAAAGCTAATAACTTATTATAACATTAATCTTTAATAATTTTTTAATAAACAGCTACATTTATTTAAGTACTTTTTCAAATAAAAATAATAAAGTATTTTTCAATAAATTTATTACATTATAAAGAAAAATAATAGAAAAATAACAATATTGTTACGAAATGTCAAGGCGCGGTGAGACGGCTTCCCCGCAAAGCAGTTTTAGGGTTGCCATAAAATGGCAAGGGAAGGCAAGGTTGCCATATTTGGCGAGAAATTGCCCATTTGGCGACAATATTGGTGATATGCCATGGACTGATGGAGAACCTTCAGGAACGAATTCTTACCGGTTTAGCACAGAATGTTCTCGAACAGAAGCCGAAAGCTATATAAACCCTGCTGGTCCGCAGTCAGAAAGTTTACCTCGTCGAGAGGGAGTGTCTCAGAGTGTGCCTCGTCGAGAAGGCGAGAGTGCGAGATAGTCAGTATCGAGTTGGTGTCTCGTCTAGCGAGTCAATCCCTGCGGAGTCTATTGAGTTGACAGCCGGGCAGCGAGTGCCGAGTGGGTCGTCGTGTTAACCGAAAGAGTCTGTTAGTGTATCGCGGTTAGTGCATCGTCGAGAGAGCGTGTTGAACTCCGGGAACGACTGAACCGAAGAGTCGGGGCTGTGCTCTGAGTGTCGTTGAGTGCATCGCGAGTTGTAGCGTGGATAGTCTCGAGAGTACGTGGAGTTCCGAGAACGCTCAATCAGAGTCCGGAGCTGTACTCTAGTGCTTTGCCGTGAAGCTGTCTCCACCGTGATAGTCTCCTGGAGGCTGTGTTGCTGATCGTGTCAGCGTGTTTAAATTAGATCTTCGACGACTGTAAAAAGTGTTACTGGAGCTGTTCTGATTAAAATTGGCTGAATAAAAGTGTGTTTCAATACTTCATCAAGTGTCGTCGTTATTCACGTCAAATCTATGAACTCCGTACGAACGTGAACGAAGAAAATAAAGTATGAACTGGTGTCAGAAAAGGAAAAACGTAACAATATTAAGTTATAAAAAATCCAATATAGCAACAGTACGTAAAATAATGATAAAATTCGATGCAAAATTTAATTTAGTAGGATATTTGCATTTTTTTCTTGGCTGAAATTAATTGAATGTTTGGATCAAGCTTCGTAGCCCGTTGCCTTCGTCGACACCATAAATGAGCATCTGTAATTTGCGTTCTGGAACTATTTTTAATTTTTGTCATGACAAAAATGTTGAGTCGTAACAATATGTACTTCCAAAGTAGAAGAGTAAACGGTGTTACATGCTCTCGTAGGCATGGCTATTCAACAGCATTTTTCCAGATATCTAAGGGTCCTTTTTAGTATCAAAAAGAGATTTGAGGACACTCTCTTCCCTCAACTCAAATAACGCCATTTGTTGTTCCGTAGCAGCTTTGGATATATCTACTAAATGTGACTCAAATGCTAGTCTGAACTTCTGCCAGTTTCATAGCAGAAATACACTCGTCAAAATCTGAAAATCTTTATCAGTATATCCTCTATTAAAAAATCCAAGACACCTACATATTCATCGAATGGTTTATTTTTACATTTTTGCTAGTTCCGGGAAGATTTCTGCAGTATCCGAGAGCAATGTTTTGAAAAATGTTGATTTTTCCCCCTGAAACGCTTGGATCTTTTGCCGTATTTCATATCATATCATATACACTGGTGTGCAAAAATTAAGGACGAGACGGTTTTTTCAATATAACTTTGTACAAAAGCTTTCCAGCTTCCAAATCAACACATTTAATACCGTAAGATCCCCAATACGTGAGGACATGAGTAATGTAAGCAACACTTACTAAAAGAGAAATCAGAGGGATGAAAAGAAGCTTTATCGAAAAAGTAGCATGGAGCGCAACGCGACTGAAGGCCGAAATATCCCTGTGATTGGTGTCCAGCAAGAAACATCCCGTTTTTAATAAGGGATATGATCTCCCCTGACTGCTAGGCAGGTTTCACAGCGTCTGGCCATGCTGAGAATGAGGGTGTCAATGAGTTGTTGAAGCATTGCTGCCCATTCGTCTTGCAGCGCCAATCGAAGCTCCGGAATCGTTACTGGTGGTAAGGTACGAGCTGCAAGCGTCTGCCTAGAAATTCCCATACATGCTCGATGGGATTGAGATCCGGAGATCGTGCCGGCCAATCCATACGTTCAATATCCTCACTCTCTAACAGCTGTTCGGCAGCTATTGTGCGATGACATGGTGCATTGTCGTCCATGAAAAGGAAATGCGGACCCATAGCGCCTCTAAAAAGACGCGCATATGGAAGAAGAATCTCGTTACAATAACGGGTCCCGTTGACTGAACCTGCGTCGAAGATGCGAAGGTCTGTACGACTACCAAGCATGATGCCTCCCCAAACGAGAACACCGCCACCTCCATACCTGTTCCTTTCAATGATGTTCGAGGGATGATTGCGGCTTCCCCGCTCTCTCCAGATGAGTATGCGATGAAAATCGCTACTCAGACTGAATCTGCTCTCATCTGTAAAGAGTACTCGTCCCCATTCATTGTCTCTCCAATTCCGGTGTTCCCGGCACCACAGAGAACGCCTTCTCCGATGGGCAGGCGTTAGAGCTACACACCGTACAGGGCGTCGTGCAAACAGACCACCACCGTGCAGTCTTCTGGCCACGGTAAAACGCGATATCGGTCGTCCAGTCGCCTGTGTCTAGCGATTTCTACGGCTGTCTGCCGCCTGTTTCTTCTGGCCTGTAAGGCAATATACCGGTCATCTGCGGGTGTGGTTCCTCGTGGAGGACCACTACTAAACCCCCGGATAGCTGTTCCTGTAGTTTGAAATTGTCTCCAAAGTCGTGAAACGATGCTGTAAGCAATTCCGAACTCTGCAACCACACTTGTCACACTGCGGCCTTCCTCCAGCTTCCCAATGATTCGACCTCGGGTAAAAGCATCCAGATGTCGTCTAACAGATTGATTATTCGCCATTTCTCGCTGAGGCAGCAACTCGGTGTGATTTTAACTGCTATACGGCGTGCAATCTCTTTGCCAGAAATACTGATCTTACACCGACAACATGCTTTTATACTACTCAGACACTCCCCCATTACGTCTACCTGCATATCTGCGCATGTGCTACCTTACATCAGCTTACTTAATCTCCTGATTGGTCTTTCTGTCCGCTCTGCCTCTTCGTTCAGCTGATATGCTAATATTTCGACTTCGTCCTTAATTTTTGCACACCAGTGTATACGGTTCGCTTTACCTTACATGTAAATATTTAAATTGTTTCGTTTTGTCATAATATCAGATAAAAATGCAATGTTTTTGCAAACTGCGTCATCTAATAGATCACATAGTTTTCCCTGTTCTTGATACGAGTTTAAAATCTGTCATCGTAAAGATAAAACTTATCAAAACCTGTCCTGATGATAGCCAGCGAACTTTGTAGTAGTAAGGTAGTACACACTGTACAACACTGTACGTTTCCTCGACTTAACTTAGCATCTGCCGAAATTCACGATGATGCATTGCATTTACGCAAATATAGTTGACAATCGAAATATTTCTATTCAGAGTATCCTGAAAAATGTTTATTTTTTCGCAAAGATTTTGCTGATGCAAAATGCAGCGAAATGATATAAAGTTTTCAAGTTTTCTTTTTTTAAACAACAAATTTTTCTTTTTTACCTCTCATAGAAGGTGCGCCATCGGCGCAGACACTGACTATATTACTGACATTTAATTGTAATCGATGGCATATTTCTCTGAAGGTTTCGGAAATGTCAACTCCTCGAGTTTTTCCAGTTAGTGTACCCAGCGCAAAGAGTTCTTCGTAACATTGAAAATCTTAAGTTACAGCAGGAATAAAATATAAACTTATGTCGAGTCAGTTTTATAAATGCTTTCATCTAAAGCAATTTGAAAAGTAAACATCTTCATTTTGTATAATTCTACGAAGTTGCTCTGTTACATTTCCAGCTAACTTGTGCTGCGGATCTGATATAGTTCTTCTTAAAAGAAGTAGTTATTTATATTTGTCAACTTTTTCTGTATCTAACATATGTACTTCTTCAACAATACATACTTGAATTATTTCTATGCTAATGGTTCTAAGCTAAATGGTCTGCTTCTTTTTCCAAGTATATGTGCTATTTTGTAAGTAACAACAACTACAGTGGTATTTTTCTTTACAAAAGCTTTAAAAGACGCCTGTTGATTATGCTTTTCTTGATGTTTTACTGTTGATGATGCTTGATGATGCTCAACTTTTGAACTCCATCTTGTCGAGTTTCACCTTCTAAATTGAAATATTTATGTTCTTTATTAAATCAAATAGTGTTTATTTGCAATCGCCTTTTTCGAAGTACTCAAAACTACATTGCACAATAAACACACTATTTTATCTTTCACAGAAGTAAAGAAATAATCTAACTCCCACTCTACATTAAATGTTCTGTTTTCTTCACTTAATTTTCTTCTCTTACAATTTGACATGACGGAGAAAAAACGAATATCAAATAGTTTTTTTAAGAAAACATATGCTTAACTAAAAATACAAAAAATCGCGTATTAGTAAAACCTCAGTATAAGTAAAACAATAACTAGATTTTCACAATGGCCGATGGCAATACAAGATGAAATATTAAAAACACGCACATATAAGTACAAATCAACAATTCCGTAATTTACAGGGGAATGTTGAGGGGTGGGTGGCAGTTGCTATTGCAATAGGATTAGTGTATTTCAAGTAAGGGTGAGCCATAGCCAAAAATTAGAATAAAACAGAAGAATTTCTATTGTTGGATGTTAGCAAACTGAAAGTGCGTTAGAAATGCAATAATTTCAGACTATGAAAGACTAACAGAACTGCAACACTGTAGCATTCTAATTCCTGTTTTGCTCAATAGATGGCAGCACGTTATTTAATTCTATTAATTTTCAAATTGTCGTAATCTATATAATTAAGTATTAATTAATAGAAGAGGTAGATGCCGCACAAGAAAGTCACGGTTGCCGCACGTTCCCTACCTCTGACTTAGAGATAGTCGCGACATCTTTTGATCCTCCATAATAATGTGAAAGTGCCATAATGTGAGCTCTGTCACAGATCTGAACGGCAGTGAGAAAACGCAGAACATCCATGATACCCACTCGATATGATATCATGTGACTATAATCTCTTCTCCAAAGCTAAAGAAGTACTAAGAGTAATCTATTGTTGCGTGCGTACAGATTCATAATAGATTGAATGCACACAGAATTGATGATAGCCTGATAAAATGTAATGAACCAAAAGAAACACTTTATAATTCTGAAACTTTCCACAAAAATAGTTGTACAACTATTCACAGTATCACACAGTACAATCAGCAGTTTTATTGCGAATTATAATTACCATTTCTAAATTACTACTGCGAACTTCTAAATTAATTCTAGACTTCTAAATTACCAGATATACAAAAATATTTCATACCGTAGTTTTCAATGAGAAATAACAGCCTATTAATTTCGTGCAAATGCATTTTATTCAGCAAATTAATCTTCTTCAGCTTTAGATACATGTTCCCAATGATTATTATTACTTCCGCATTTGTAAAAGTTATTGCCACTAGAGCCTAAAATGTCGTCGTGTGTTCTGCGTGACATCATCTCGGTCTTGGAACTGTTGCTCATGCAAATGGTAATCCATGGCCAAAACCAGAAAACAGCTAGATGGAGCGATGTCTGGAGAGCAAGGAGGATGGAGTAAAACTTTCCAAACAAGTGTGTTTTTCATTTCCTCCATCACTTTCGCCTTATGAGGTCTGGCATTTTCTTGAAGAAGGATCATTCTTATCCCGTTGACTTGTGCTGGCTGCTTCAAATGCAGTGCAGCTGCAACACTTTGCGACTATTACGAGTACACCTCGACTGTGATGGTTCTGCTACTCTGCCGTGATAACAATGAAGAGCAAATGGTGAACCGATGGAGTTTAGTTTCCTTGCTCGAAACGTGACGAACCCATTTACTGAGCTTCTGTGTCTTCCCAAGGGGTTTCCTCCGACAGTTTAAATCCTTGTGCAAGTTTTTTGCATGCTTGATGTGGTTTGTGCTCTGTTCCTTCAGCAGGGTTTCGTCGATAGTGGGTGGACGCCCAGTTCGCGACTTATCCTGAAGGCTTTCATCTCCCGATGCAAATCGACTGGACCGCTGTTGCTTTATGAGATCAATCGCTGGCTCTCCAGACATTGGTTCAATATTTTCCGACATATTCTGCAGCACTGCTTCCGAGTTTGGACCCTAAAGTAAGCATCGCCGAAATCATTCATGGACAGTGACATGTTCACTTCAAGATTATAGTTCCTACAACGACATGACCTACTATTGACACGCCTCATAACTCTGCACTAATTGACGGTTGACGAGGATGTCAACATTTGAAGTCATCCCAACAGAGTGTCCGACACCTTCCGTTTGAATTTCAATGTTCATTCCAGCGGCACGAACTCTTCTGGATACATGATAAGAAAGAAGAGAATTTTCTGCAAACACAGGAAGATGAAACGGAAGTAGCTTAACGATTACTTGAGTTAAATCTGAGTTTTACTAAGCAACTGTTGATTATTAGTAATTTAGCTTTACTAAATTATTCATAATTAACTGAGTTTAACCAAAGTGAGTTTTTTTATAATTAATTTATTCTTTTTTATAATTATTAACAGAGTTTTATTAAAAGTTTACCTTATATGTTTCTACTTTCTTGTAAGGCCCACATAAATAAATTGTTTATTAAAATATATTATATGAAAATTATAAGATATCATACAGTAGACTTAGTTCTACTTTTGTCATTTTTTTGAGTCTTAACATTTTTATAAAATTCTCAGTCACTTTAAATTGCAGAGAGTTTTTAAAGAATATAACGACTATTGTAGGTATATATTTTGTATCAAAATGTATCTTGGAAACTTACCAGGAAGCATTTCAATGAGAAGTTTTGAATACATTTCTATTACTCTTTCATCACCTTTTGAGAGATACCAGTGCTTAACTTCAGGCAAAGTCTTTATATCGCAGTTTACCATGTCCATGTGGCCAATCTTCAAGTAGTAGTTTCCTATAAAATAATGCAAAAGTTAGCTGAAGTGAGAAAACTTTTTTATTATTTATGGGATCAGAAATATGCATTTAATAAGTTTAGAATGCATAAAAATTAGAATAACTTAGAATAAAGTAAAATAATTTTTTTCTTCATATTATAAAATCAATATTTGTTATGTGAAAATAATAATAATTATAACAGCATTCTGCGTTCGAAAACTGCTGCTAACGAAGTACTGAGTACAATAAATAAGGGAGAAAATACGAATGAATTAATAAACCATAGGAAATTCAGTTAGAAACACCCCCTTTCCCTCCGGAAAAATTACTACCACCTGAACGTTTACCCTTTCCTAAGCATTTCTGTGCGTTTTTATGCAATTTAATTGATATTCATAAGTAATAAAATTTTTTCTTATTAACGGTACCATCTGCATCAAGTTTTGTTGCACTTATCTGTGCAACAAAGTTATTTATGCAAAGTTTGTCTGCAAAATTTTACGCCTGATTTGAAAATAAAACTCAAAGAGTTATATCTTAAAAAGGCAGATTTCTTCATATACGATATAATCGCCATTCTTTTCTATAACTGTTTTTCGATTTTTTTATTACCTTATGGATTCCTTCTGTATACAAAAGACAGGATTTCTCTTGAAAGAAGATTAAGAGAGGTGGAAATGAGAGATTTTGGCAGCTTTTATGAAATCTTCATTTTGTTTAAATTATTCTACAGTAATTGCAATAGATGAACATTTGAAGAAGAAAGACGTGGAAAATACATTGATTGTTATTTTTTCATTTTAAATCGTCCAGTTTTACACTATCGTTGTGCGCTGTGATGATACCACCTTGAGCTGCCAAGACCTGGTTTATTTTTGGCGAATTTTACTCATTGAGTTTGGTGAATGGCACTGAGTACTTGTTGCTGTGACTGCCGCTGAAGAAGGTGCAGCTCAAATAAAATTATTCACCTATTCTCCCCACCAAACAGATACCTTACTTAGATGAAAGTTTAGCTTCTGTCGCGGGATTTTAACTTCTGTCTACTTCTTCTCACTCCCTTTCTATCATATATTCTAATCCAATATTATTCGTCTAGTGATGTTACACTTGTATTGGTAGTATAAACTGGTATGAAACCGTTCCAGACTTGAAGCGAATTATCGCTTCGTCTGGAAAGAATTGCAGTCTTGGAAAGGTTATGAAAATTTTTTATTAAATCAGAACTTTTATTAATTAATATAAACGCGAGGTTCGTGCTTAACAAACAGGCACCACTTGTGGCGATGGCACTTGAAGTAACAGTCAATTTAAATTCAAAACTAAGTCTAGAAGCTAGAAGCCAAAAGCTACACAACTGATTGAACGCGAAGTTGGCTCAAAATTTTCATTGATGTAACAATTTAAAGTCAGCAACTATAATGCAAAGTCGAAGAATGCAGTCTTATCTGAGCTAGCAGAAACCTGGTAATGTGTTCTCGAAAGGCAGAGACATGCTCTGTTTTACAATAAAAAAACTTCGACTTACATACTCTCAACCCGATTTGCATTCTGGTAGGGAAACGGTAAGGCAAAGAAAGTTATAGTAAAGATCTAAATCATAATAACTGGTTAGGTTAATATAACAATAACACTACAACGTGTTATGACTCAATCTACAAGTTGCTCGTTTTTCATGGCGTCTGAGGAAAGATACAGTGCAGTTCATTCTTTTCCATCATACAAAACGGCACCCATGCGTAGAATATATATTTCTATAAGGTCATTCTATTCCAGAAGTGAATATATATTTCTATAAATGACGAAGTTAATAAAAATTGTCAAATCTGAATCTTCTTAGCAATCTCGTAAGTTATAATCTTGCGTAGTTTTCCATTAAAAGCGTCCATTGGGTATTTTCTACTAAAGATCATAACTTTTAGTTAGAATGCTGTTCAAAGCGGAGTTTATATTCTCCCTAATCTTACTCATAACTCTACTTTATTCAACAATATCTGTTTTTTAAAATGACTCATCGTACTTCTGTTTATTCAGCAACATACCACGTAGTCTCTAAATAAGCACCATTACTGCAATTTAAATATACTTCTGGGGCTTTTGAAAATTGGGTGCAAGATTTTTGCAGTTACTCAATAATATGTGTTATATATATGTATTTATTTTGTAATATAAGCGTATAGATAAAAAAAAAAAAATAATTTTTCCTAAATTTAAATTTGTATTTTTATAAAAACAAGTTAGTTTAGCTTTATATACAAGGTGTTTGATAAATGTAGCATTGTTTCCTTGATTATCAATACTAAAGATGCACATCCATTTACAGAGTTCCTCAAAGTGACCTTAGACAATTTTATGAAAACGATTTCAACAGCATGGCTGAAAAAGCTCTGTAAATATAAAAACTGTTTTGAATATAGTCCTTGAAGAACAAAACTCGAAATTATTTTTCATAAATAAGTCAAATACAAAAAAGCACTTTAATTTTTATACAAATTTGTGAAGAAAGGAGTAGTTAATATTTTTACGCGAAGAGAATAATGTTTTAGTCAAGAGAGAATCTTTCTAATTGTCAAATCAAATATATTTCAGCAAATTTTATTTTGCTTCCCAAATCTGTCTCAAAATTTCGAATTTAGATTGGTAAGCGGTAATGAGAAGTGATGTTAGGCAGTAAATATTTTCTGAAATATCTTGTGAATTTTTCTCCATAAAAGTATCAAATGTTCCTTCTTTTGGTTTTTCAACTTACTAATTTATAATTAATACTCTAAATTGAATTTTTGGTTCATGTTAACCATGCAAAAGGTTATATTTTGTGTAAATAGAACGCCGTTATCCCGAATACTAAAACTGTTTCTATCAAACTTTCTGCTTTATTTTGATAAATTCTCTAATTTAAAATATATGCCTAAAACAAATATTTGCCATCTATAACCGATTGTTTCAAAAACCTTTATATATTAACTGTAAACACGAATTATTACTAGGTGACAAAGTGTAAAACAACTTAACTATCAAGCCATTTATCATATCCTTTTCTCAAAATAAAAATGTTTATGATTAACGTAAAAGAATAAAAATGTATATAATGTTTGAAATGAGTCATTTCATATTAAAATTCTATAAAAATGCGAAAGAAAATTAGTATACTTTGTGAAGCAATATGCTCATTTTTTGTTTTATAAGTAAGTTAATTTATATATTTTAATGTATGGATTTTAGGTATTGGATAAATATTTAAGACGTATTTTAAGCTTACTTATATGAAAGATGCTTTGCTAAGAAATACTCTGCATTATTTGTTACACCTAATTAATTTTTATTTCAAAAGCTTACAAAAGCCTTCGCCTAAGGTGTTCCTCTGACATCTTAAATTCAGCACAAAATAGAAAAAAAGAAAAAGAAAAAAAAAAAACTTTCTTGACTTTTAAAAAAAGTACATATAATAAAATGTTTACCATCTGGATATCGAATAGGAGGCAAAATATAGGCTCCCAAATTTAATCCAGTATTTTCCAAATCCCTGCGACAGACAATGCTAGGCATAGAGCTAAATAATGATAAACATTCATTAATATTTGCAAAATTAACTTATTTAATTGAATTCACACAACAAAAACAGAGCTGTAAATTGAAACGTCTTACAGTTCGAGAGTTAAAGGAGTTTTTAATATAATTGCCAGTTGCTAAATATTATACTGACTCAAATATGACAATATCTTTCTCTTTAAGTAAATCATCTGCAAAACATGTTTGTTTTTAAGACTCAATTAAATACGAATGAAAATAAAATATCACATATTCTGAGTTAAAAGAACACATATTTATTCAATTTTAAGCTGATATGTGTTATTCATATTATTATTTTAAATGGAATATTTTCAACCTACCAAGGCATTATACGGCTTGGTAGGGATATAATGCCTTGGCGTATACCAAGGCATATAAGTTTTCTTACATGATAATCCTTCTCGAAATTTTAGTTTCGCGATTGCCGGGTTCTAAAAATATATACCTATCATAAAAAAAAAAAAAAAAAAAAAAAAAAAAAAATTGTGAAGTATCATTTTATTTTCTAACCCGTTATTTTAAAATAATTTCCTTTTCTATTAGTCGCGTTTCCATTTCCCTGCCAGAATGTAAATTGTTATGTCGCGCGATATTCAAATTAAAAAGAAAGTATTAAAAGGGAAGTTTTGGAGGGTAAAATCGGAGAGTGTTCTGCCTGCTTGAAGGCCACGTTGCTAAATTTGATCCTGTAGCGATCAGTATTCTGCGGCGCTCAGTTATTCTTGCCATTAGGTTTGTTTACCTGAACTTTGGCCAAAGCCAGCTTGCGCGCCAATTATAGTGTGAAGTCGTTACACTATAATTAAATTTATTTAATTTTAGTTCATCCATTATCTTTGATTTAAGGCCAAAGCTCTTGACTTCTGCAAGCATGAGTTGGTGCCGTCTATTAAACTTTAGTTGGATTAATAATGAGTCCTTTAAATCCTTTCCTTCCCTCTGTGGTACTTACAAGGCATAGTGATAATTCGCTACTTGTCCTTTAGGCTCTTGTCTAATTTTGTGCTTTCTAAGAAGGTTAGACCCTACAAAATCCTTATACCAAAATAGCATAGTAAACTATAAACAATTAATTGATGATTATAAATTAATTTATAATTACAAGAAAATGTATACAACTGTAGCAAAGAGCTTTTGCGGAAAATAAATCTTGAACTTTTGGGTAGATGGTCTAAGCATTGGATAAGTAATCAATAATTTTAGGGTTCAACTTAACTTCCTGAACTGCGTATTTTGGACTGCGAGTGACATTTCCATCATCACATTGTCATCATCGAAGAAATTACGCGGTAAAAAAAAAAAAAAAAAAAAAAAAAAAAAAAAAAAAAGCATTTAATACAACGTAAGATGCCGTAACATCTTGTATATCAGAGAACTTTATTCTCAGGGAAATAAGCCTTCCTCTTTAGGGTATTTCGAAATAGAAACACTGATTAAACTGAACCTCTTCGCTCCCAGAGTGTCATATATAATATTGCTCAGTTCCTCTCCGTACGACCACCATATCAAAATGTGAGACGGGTACGAAGATTCTCTGATGGCCCACCGTATTATAGTTCATACGCCGAAACGGAATATTTTATTTCAAATTATAAATGCGCAAAAATTATGTCATAATGTTGCGAAATTTTACTGAATAGAATCCATAGAGTGTTAGCATTGTTGTGATATGCTATACGTACTAACACACTAAAATTATCTCATACTAACACACTAAAATATTTATTATTTTATTCTACGAATGTAAACAGCGTGGCGCTAACAGTGTGCGCTCATCCTTCTTTCATAAACGCATCATTCAGTGCAAGCAGTTAAAAATTTTATAATATAGAAATAGGATACAATAATCATTGATTTTCATAACTTTTTTCTTCATTACTATGCAGAAACAATTTAAATACGGTAGTATAATCAATATTATTAATATTGCATTTTAACTTATTCTGAATTTTTATTTTAATTTCAAGCATTAGGATTTTCGGTACTTTTCCGTTTCAACGGCGCAAATCTCGCCAAGCAGACTTTATTGGCGACAACATACAGTATACACATAAAAAATATTAGTTCTAAGAATTCTTTTTAAAAAAGAAGGCATAAACATTTTAATATCGCTTAAAATTTTATAAATAGCCAATAAATAAAGACAACAAATTTGTAAAAAGACATTAATTTAAGAATCTACTATGCTTTCATGGTTCAACATCCTGATTCGCCGGTTCATATCACGTGACCCCAAGCGATCTCATCTCACGTAAACTACTCTACAAAAATCTAATGCTCTCAGTAATTATCTACATTAATTTCAAGTTAAATCTTAATTTGGAACACAAGTTTAAATGCAAGAAATATTTCAATTTGTACGAATAGCTTACTCAGAAATTATGTAAAACTGCAGTGCTTTACTTCGCTAATGCATTCTCATTAGAATTGATGAATTTAACCCTTGACTTTACCTTTTCTATATTTTCGGCTTCGGGTAAGCTCTGTGATTGCATCCTAATTGACTTAATTACCGAAAATTGCCTTAGACAAAAAACTGAACTATCTGATAAAAATTCTATGTGATGATATGCCAGTATTGAAAGAAACAACCAATCTGATAAGAAAAAGCTGCGACTCGTTTTGAAAATGAGGCGTAAAAGGTTACCAGCGAGAATATTCCGTTTGGCATCGGTTGTACCATTATTGGCGACTTTATCGCTTGCGCCGGCAAAACAGAAAAGTACCGGATTTTCTGTTCATATTGTAAGAAATATTATTTTAGTGACATGTGCAAGAATCCAAATATTTAGACAAATATCAAGTTTCTGCGTGTTAGGCTTAAATGGAAAATGTGCTCGAGTATAGTGGCATTCAGGGCTCCAAAAATGTCACCAGCAGAGGGTTGAACTTCATATGCTTGATCGTCAGCAGCAGAGAAGTTAAAAAACACATTAGCGCTAACAATTCCTATTAGCACAAATAATTTTTAATTTCGCCAGAATACTTATCATATATTTGTGGAAAATGCATAAAACTACTTTAAGTAAGATTTGGTAATTAAAACACTTTGCATTACCTAATTCGTTTTGATTCGTGTACAGGGATCTTGAGGAAAGCTACGGTTTCTTTCTTTACTGTAATGCTTAATTCTTCTAATACTGCGAATTTCTTGAAATTTGTGAATGCTCCAGTACAGAATAGCACTCTTTTTGCTTTCAGGCGTTTTCCAGTTTCAGTTAGAATCTATTTAATGAATTATCGTATTTTAATTTTTATAACAATCAGTATCAGAAAAAATAGACTTGATCTTCTGTGACTTAAAATCCTTCAATTATTTTATTTATTTATTTACTGAGAATACATTAGAAGAATAAAATAAAATGTAAGGTATATCGAGTATAACGGTTATGTTCGAAAATTCGATTAATAAAAATTCATACGGTTAAACGATAGTAAGCCAAATAAATTTTTAATACCTGCGTTCAAGAAAACTCAAATTATTTTTTAATGAATCGCACAATTTAGGAAATTTTATTAGCACAGATTTTAGATATACTAGAGATATGCTGTAAAGATAGTGAATAATCATATTTTATTAGATCATGTGAGCAATTGGGGTGAGCTTCTACGCGGTTCCGAGGAAAAAAAAAAAACACGTGGTGAACGTTTATCTAAACTCTTCAACTTCTACTCACATTTCTTCGCCAGGATGCAAATTAAGTGAAAAAGAGTAATTAAATGGGCGGAAAGAGAAAGTTGTGAGAATCACACTGATCGCGTGAGAAGCAAAGCAATTGTCATGAAGTGCCTACTTCTCATCATAGGGAAATACTCAAAGCTTGAGCTTTCAAAGAAAAAGCCCATCTACACTTCTAGTATTAGACCTTTGATGAATTATACTTTGCCAGCTTGGACTACTGCTACTCCATCGGATATACACAAGCTTCAAATTGTGCAAAACAGATTTTTAAGGATGAGCACAAATGCGCACTATTTTGTTCGAAATAAACTTCTGCATGCTGATTTCAAAATGAATAGACTGGATAACTTTATCAGGAAAGCAAATAAAAATTCTTCGAGACTACTCAAAATTGTGACCATATGAACTTTCCACTACGAAGTGCTCAACGAAGATAAATATCTTCGCCCTCATGCAGGCTTCATTCTCAGTGAAAACCAGGGCTTTCTCACTTAATTTATGAAGGTTCTTGCACAGTTGTGACACTATACTAATAAATCACTAATAGGATAATAATAGGATAAGGTATTTATTAAATAAATAACTTTATCCTAATGTATTTTATTTTCATAGTTCCTATAGATTCCAGGAGGATTCTTCAGTTACAGCACTGGGGTGGGTGACCACCCATGTGACCCCGACCTCTGCTCGTTGTGTTATGTAGCTCTTGTTACTTAACTTTAGCATCTGTGATTTGTATATAGCTTCATGGACTGCCTTCTGCAACTAATTATACACAATCTTTTACCTTCATTTATTATTTATTCCACTGTAATGTATTTCCTTTACTGCAGAGTTGGATGAATTCAATCCAAATCGCGTGATACATGCGATCATGAACTCTGATTTGATATGCTGCCATTCGTATTGTTATCTAAGTTAATCTGCATAGTCATTAGGACTGTTGTAAGACTGTTTTATGTATCAATTACTTATCCTTCCTCCATCCTAGCTGTCCTCTTGACCAAGCCATCACTCTATCTCAAGCGCCCAGTGAGGCAAATACATCAAGGTAGAATGAAAACAACATGCATTTAGCATGTTGATTGGAATATAGAAACTGGAATTTAGAAAGTTGTCATAGAGTGATTACGCTAGCCTAGCGCATGTAGCTATTTTGTCTTTTTTGCTGTTGGCTTCGAGTTGCTGTTACGCCTTCTAGGCGTTTAATTAAAGTCTTTGTTAATTAAAGTCTGGGCGTTTAATTAAATTACAGGTTGCTGAGTCAGCCTGTAAGTCTTAAGTTATCTAGCGCTACTCTTTACCATTTAAATTTATTGTTAAATCATTCTTAAGTTCCCACCGCAAGTTGTCGGAATTACTGTGAGCACAAAGTACGTGCATTTTTGTTAATAGTTTGACGAATAATGAAGAGTTCGTTTTGCTCAACTTCTGTGCTGGTATTATTCACGCCTGTGCGAGAAGTCGCCAGCTTTCCTAGCAAGATCGTATTAACTGTACGATAACAAAGAGGGTAATATCTCACAGTTTCTTTATGTCACAGGGTCAGACTTGTGAATTCCATTGTGCGCGAGTATAAAAGGAGGCACGCTCACCAGACAGGAGGAATTTCGTTTCTGGATAATTGTGGCCTCATGGAAACACGTTCCTGATGAACTGCATGAAATTACAGTGTTTTAAAGATGTATTTTGATAATTTAGATTGTAAATAGTTTTCATTTGTATTTTAGTCCAGAAATAAAGCTTTTCATGCCGTACTGAGTTTTGTGATAGTTTATGATATAAACGACAAAAAGACCTAAAAGTCTTAGTACATTTCAAATTTTAAATAACTTCCTTATTCGATGCACATAAGTAAAATTCCAATAAGGCATCAATGGTTCAATTCAGGCACCCAGTGTTTCGGAGCCCAAGATATCCACCACACATTCGTCAATATTCCATGCCTTAAGATAATGCTACTAACAATTCATACGGTAGTATTGGGTAAAACTAGGAGTTAATTATCGTCTTTTTGCCATTCTCAGTTAGTATTTTAACTTCAAGTTTATATACCGTTTGCTTTCTTTATCTTTAATTACGTAAAATATTTCTAAAACTTGATAAAATTATTAATAAGGGAAAGTAAAAATCGAAAGCATGTAACTTAAACAGGTTATCAGAATCTGGTTATTATTAATAGAATGTGAAAAATGTGCGAATACAAATACTGTAATGGAGATATGTCACAGGATCTTTTTATGTTGTTAAAAACTGTTGTTCTGACTTATCTTAATTATCTGAGAGTAATATCAGAATAAGCCCAAGAACTTCATCGTGGCAAGGAGAGCAAGATTACTCCTGTTGTTGGCAAGAGCCTTCAGCATCACACAGGTACGACTTCGCTCAGTTCCGCCCACAGTTTTGATAGACAGCACCCCGAGAGGAAGGATTCGAGGGTCTCCCACCCCTCTTCCCTTACCATCAACCAATCTCTCGAGAGGACTTTTGGCTCGCCGTATATTGAGAGTGCTCTCATGCCGCAAAGACGCTATTCGTTTACAAACATCCATGCCTTCTCTGGGATTCGAGCTGGGCCCCCTAACCACTCTGCTGTCTGGGCGGCTCATGTTAAAAAACTAAAAGGAGAAACCATAAATTTCCCTATCTGAGTTTGTTACTTTTAAAAATATCGTTACTCAGAAAACATTAATTAAAATAAAAGCTCGATCAAGCAATTAGTGTGTTGTATAAATGATTCAACGCTCAAAGATCTGAAAATAATTCTATAACAGGACTTAATAAAACCTAATACAAGAGTTAAACAATTTCACCAAGAAATGAATTTGCTAAAAGGTAGTTGCTTGTTTTCACATGGATGGCTTCTTAAGTTTAAAATAATGTACGATATTCATAAATTAGACATTTCATAAATTAGACATTCAGACATCCATGAATTAGATATTTTCCAATTAGACATTTCAGAAATTAATAATCTGCCTAAAATATTAAATAATCCTATTCTAAAAGATGTTCTTTTCTTAACAAAAAGTGCGGAATCTATGAAACAGGTGAACGTCCGAAATTTGAAAGCACTTCATGTACTGGCGATAATCCAGATATCAAAATTAAAAATGATTAAATATAATTCAGCTATGCACACATTTATTTACTAATACATTCTTGTCGTTAAATAGGTTCAGAAAATTTCTATATACAATTTCATTTATTTCTCAATAAATTTAAAAAAAAATCATTTTACAGCAATATGCAGTTTCAATCCGATAATCCTTACATTTGATTATCCGGTATCATTAAAATCCTAAATGAGTCAGATTATTGGATTCCAAAAATGTGCGTGCTGCAAAATGTCCTTGCATCTTAAGTTTGATTACATATTAGAAAACAACGACACAAATGTTATCACATGCACCTACTTTGATTCGTATAGTAAACAAACGTAAAAATTTATTTCTTGACATGTATAACTAATGAGTAATGCTGCTTAAATTTGCATCTAAACATAATTTAGATTACAAGATTTTATCAAAGAACATACGATAAAACTGAAAGCATTTAAATTCTTTCCTACGCATAGTAGAAATTTTGAACTGAAAAAGAAATAAATACCTGTGAATTTTTACAGACATATTGCTAAAACGATAAATAAGATATATTGCTACAAAATCACTTTATGTAACTTACATTTGCCTTTCAAATAAACAAAGTTTCTCAGTAGAGCGTATCGAACATAGGAAACTTTAAATTTTACCAGCTTAAAACACAATTTTTAATATTTCATAGCAATAGTTCTTTAACTAGAATCTATTTGTAAGCATTTTTTCTGAAGTTCTGATATTTTCGCTTTAAATATCTTAAAGGAATTTACTTTCGCAAAATTTTGCTTCGTATATAATATAAAAAAATTATAAACTAAATTTCGATACAACAAATATATATTACACCAGAAGTCAATATTTTTCTAGTTAGCTCATTCACAAAACGTTCACTTATTTTTTTCTATGCATTGGATAGAACTTGAGTATTATTCAGAATTTTTCTCAGATCCTAACAGTGTATATTAATTTATGCGCTTGAAGCTGCATAGAGTATTGAAAGTCGTATACTGAATATCACTTTTAGATTTAGTTCTGAAGAAATTATGTGTGAATAAATTTATTGCATATTTAAACACTGTGCGAGTGAATTTTAAACATTACACTTAAAGTCAAATATCTGTGCTTGATACACTAAATAATAATTAAAAATAAAAAATCTGTAAGTATTTAATTATGAATTATGTTTTAAGAAGTTGCATCAAGTTGTTGCACTTAAAATTTCGTACCTGATGCGTGCCATTCACCATTTCTTCGACTTGTTCAACTACTTCATGAATTATATGGCAGCCTTGTAGCTTCGCAACTTTTTTCTGGGCAGCTACCATTTTTCTAGGACTGATATGCCCAGCGCCGCTATCATCTAAGAGTGCATATTCATTTTCAGCCAGCTTCAGAAAGGGATATCTTTCAAAATGATAAGAAAAGTTACATATTGTGATACTTCTTTGGCAATATGAAGCAACTCCAATGGTGGAACACAGAAAAAAACTTTATTTAGCACTCAAAATGGCGACATACAAACAAGAAAAGAAAACATATTCTATCATTTAAAAATAAATTACATTCTTCGTGCGAGAGTCGCACGAGGCACTCGAGTCTGGTTTCAAATATTGCCATTCACAAATACCTTAATGTTCATCTATTTAAATTATTTAAACTACAAGATTTTAATATTATTTAAAATCTGTTACAACCTTTCCCCCAACGGAGAGACTTTTACCGAAGGGAAAAGTTCTGTAAATTTCGAAAGTTTATAAGCTCAGCTTGCTCAATTGCTTAAAGAGAAAAGATAACTTCTCTCATAAGTTTCCAAATTTTCAGGCCAAAAATTTTAAGTTTTAAACAAATATTTTTACACCACATTTAAATAGGAAGAAAATGGACAGTGTTCAAATTAGTCTTCCTTTTTTTTTTTCTTGACGGCGTCTAGATCTCTTCCATGGTGGACCAGTTCCTCGGCTATAATTCACAGCAAAGCCTTTCCTCAGTTCATCTGTGCCTTTCGGATAATATTCATTTGTCATTTGCTTTTGACAATTGTTTTTTTCGTCTATTAGTAGCGGCTTTGATATTAAATCAAAAGCCGAAAGATGATGATAACGCTGCATTGCAAAATGATTCTCAGTATTAATTTCTTCATCGTTTTTCAAATTTTCGTGAAAATCTTCCACGTTTAATTCCGGTGATTTAACTTCTTCAAAGATATCTCTGGATGCTTTATTTTCTTCTTTCATCGGTTCCAAGATCTTCTCTTCAGCTATTTTTCTTTTCCTTTGAACTCTAGTAGAGACGGCATTAACCTGGGGAGGATGATTATCAGGTTCCTTTCTTTGTTTATTCAACAGTGCAAAAGTTCGATTGCCTAATAAATACCTTCCTTTGTCGAGTTCATTTCTAATAATGGCAGCCTTAGTTATTACTCGCCCAAGATCGCAATTTAGTTCGATCTCAGCCAATGGTAAACAGGTTGGATTCAAATCTAATGGCTGTTGCACCCACACATATTCACCTGTCAGCATTTCCGGCGTGATGTATTTGCGACAAACTATATCAATACTAGCACCTGAATCCCTTAATATAGGAATTTTATGACCATTTACGTAACCCATACTAGTATAAGGTAATAGAAATTTATCCTCTGGTTTTGCACTAATTCTGTTAAGATTAGCCGGAGATTCAGTACTATTCTCAAGTTTTGGACATTGGGGTTTTAAATGTTGATAGGACCCACACTGATAGCATTGTGGCGTTTTTCGTTTTTCATATTTATCATCTGGACGTGGACTTCTAGGTCTATGAAACCAGCTTTGCGAACTAAATCCTGATGACATTTTTTTTTCAGTTTTATTTTTATTATCTGAACTCAATTTACCTTGAGTTAGTGCATTGTATCTTTCTTTCTGCCGATCCACTACAGGCCGCTTTTGAAAGTTTCCGCAAACGTTTTTATAGGCATCAAGTTTTTCAGCTAATTTTTTCGATGAAATCATCTTTACCTATTCATCAAGAAAATGATCTCGAATTTCAGGAGGAACTCGACGTTTAAGTTGGTCAAGCACCATCAAATCTAGCAACTGATCAAAAGTCTTAACTCCTAGACCAGTCACCCATTCCTTGCAATAATTTTCTATTTCATAATTGAAATCCATCCATGTAGATTCGGTACTCTTTTGATGTTTCATAAATTTCTGCCTAAACTTTTCCGGGCTTAGTTTAAACCGTCTTAACAATAAATTCTTCACGTGCTCATAGTCTTTAGCTTTATCGGAGGGTTCTCTCTAGCTATTAACTGGGTTACTACTTCGTAAGGAAGTAGTCTTAGTAAATGAGATACAAATTCTTCTTTATCAATTTTAGCCCATTCTGCTTGCCTTTCAAACAATAGCAAATATAGACTGATATCTCCTTTCTTATCATCGAATTTCTGCATAAGGTGACGCATCTCCGTTTTCGGCCGGATCTGTCCGGTATTTTGAGACTTTGTCTCTGCTTCAAGTCTTAATCTCTCTAATTCATACTGTTCGTTCCTTCTCCGCTCTTCTGCTTCTTCCTGTCTCCTACGTTCTTCTCTTTCCTCCCTCTCTTTCAGTTCCTCTCTTTCCGTTCTTCTGTTATTGTGTCTAAGACTCCTTTGACGAAGACTTCATCATAATCTCTACTTTCAACAATTTTCTGTTTTAAATCGACTATTTTCAAATCTGCAGTCACATGAACTCCCAGTTCAACCGCGAGATTTTGCAAATCTTCCTTACGAGCTCTTCCTAAGTAAGACATTGTTTCTATGTTTAAAATTAACGAACACTGTGTTCCTTATATTTCCTCAAAATAGCTCAAAAATGAAATATTTAAATTATATGAAATTCATTCTCTCTACCACATTAATTGTGATTAAAATAAGAATAATAACATAGAGCAATATATATATCTACCGTATGGACAAATAAAATGAATATTAAAAATAATATCCAAAACGGTAATAAAATAAGACAATTCAATATTAACAGGAAGTAATAATCTGGTATCGCTAATATTGTGTTCAGTGATGAACTAATAACATAAATCAATTCAATATTAACAGAAAGTAGTAATCTGGTATCGCTAATATTGCGTTCAGTGATGAACTAATAAAATAAAGCAATTCAATATTAACAGGAAGTAATAATCTGATATCGCTAATATTGCGTTCAGTGATGAACTAATAACATAAAGCAATTCAATATTAACAGAAAGTAATAATCTGGTATCACTAATATTATGTTCAGTGATGAACTAATAAAATAAAAATACGCACGATTATTCGATCTCTGTCGGTGCCTCCAAAATAATTATGACTGTGATACTTCTTTGGCAATATGAAGCAACTTCAATGATGGAACACAGAAAAAAACTTTATTTAGCACTCAAAATGGCGACATACAAACAAGAAAAGAAAACATATTCTATCATTTAAAAATAAATTACATTCTTCGTGCGAGAGTCGCACGAGGCACTCGAGTCCGGTTTCAAATATTGCCATTCACAAACACCTTAATGTTCATCTATTTAAATTATTTAAACTACAAGATTTTAATATTATTTAAATATGTTACAATATCTTGTAATTTAATGAAAATAATTACTGAAAACACTTCGGGTGAATTTTTCGGGCTCTAAATATTTATTCCAGCTCTCAAATATTATTTCAATATTTAATTAAAATAATAATATTTTTATTGAAATACTTATATATTTTAAAAAATTGTATTAAATGTTTATAATGTAATATTTTATTAAAATAATCAAAGAAAACAGAAAAATAATTACTAAAAATTGTTCGTCATTGGAGTTTATTTCGTTTTTAATACAAAATAATTTTGCATTTTAATAAATTCTGAGCCTGTATTTTATATAGTCATCATATCGTCTTTATATACTGAGAGAAATGAACATTAAAACATTCAGTCATAATTTAACATAAATAGAAATGTTACAAAATTTTTAATAATATGTTTATAATATAGTTGATGAATTTGCTAAAATTAAATAACAGCAATCAATTCTATGAATGAATAGAAAACTGCTAACAAATTCACTAACCTAGATAAAAAAAAAAAAAGTTTGATCTGTCATTACATTGTTACGAATCTTGTATATATGTAATTAATTTTAGTGAAATTATATATAAAAGTAAAGCATATCTTGCTTAACATGATGTGCCTCAAAACAGTGAAGCTTCACTGAAAAAAAAATATGATTACAGGGGCAAGTCTATTTAATACTGATGTAAATGGCTATTATGTTAAATTTGCGAGATATTGCCAAGCTGACGATTGTTTTGGTGACAAATTTTTGTCTCTAGATTTGGCGAGAAGTGCCATTAATCGCCAAACTTGGAGACCATTTAGTGAATTTTATTCTATATCTGTATCTGGTACTGTAATTGAATAACTGTAGATCCCTATATTTAACTGTAACCGTATTCGGTCTTTATACAGAACGGTAATTGTATATGCGTTCCAGTAATTTCGAGAAAGAGAAAGTACTGGAAATTTCCTGGTTGCCGGGGGGAAAACTATATAAGACCGGACAGATCGGACAGATCATTAGCTCTTTTAAACCGAAAACGCAGCGCGACCAGTCAGTTATCCAGATGAGGTCACGTGCCCGACTGGGCAAACTGACGCTCATATTCCCCAGTCTGGCGCAACTCAAATGAACACCATGGAGGAGAGACTTAGTGAAAATGCCACTAATGGTGAGGATAACAATATTACGGACACGGACGCTAGTACGTCTAAACAAAATACAAGCTCAGATGAAAACATAGAAGCGGAATTTGTGAAAAAGTCACGGATACCACCCATAACTATTAAAGTAGATTACCCTACTTGGAAAAACATAGCTAGGGCACTTAAACAGAGAAACATTGAGTTTAACTCTAATAAGAATAATAAAGGGATTAAAATTTTCATCAGAAACCCTGAACATTACAGGCAGACTGTTACTTATTTAAAAGACACGAAAGTGGAACATCACTCACGCTTCCTGAGGATAAAGACATAAAAGTAGTGATAAGAGGTCTCTTAAAAGAGATACAGATACGGTAGAAATACAAGAGGAGTTAGAAGATTTAGGATACAAAGTTGAATCAGTTAAGCAACTTACGCGCAGAAGAAAAGGGGAGGTTATTAAACTCCCGCTATTTTTAGTTACTCTGCCTAAGAAACCCAAATCCAAAGATATACACAACGAAACTCACTTATGTGACCTAGGAATTAAAGTCGAAAATTATAAAGGTAGATCGGGCACGCTACAATGCTATAGGTGCCAAGGATTTCATCATACGCAAACTGGCTGTAACTATGCACCCAAGTGCGTGAGATGCGGAGAGGGACATTTGTCCTTTGAATGCCCTAATAAAAACT